GCGGCTTATTGTCAAGAATTCCATTTCATATAACCAACTGCCGAAAGTTATGACATCGATAGGTTTGGAAAAGGCCTCAGAAACTGAATGACTCCTAATAAGCATCCTCTTCTTCAGAAGGTTATACTTCGAAAGATACATTAAGTTGTTAATCTCGGTTTTATTCACCTTTCTCCAGGCGGTCCGACGTCGGTATGGGCTGGAGGAGCTGCTTCCGCTGGTTTCGCTGGGCCCGCGGGACGACCTACTTCTGTTGATCCTGGACTTTCATGGAGATGAACAGCAGCACTGAAAATGATTCTATAAATCTAGAACAACTCAAACAACAAATTCTTTAGCAATTCCATGACGGTGCTCAGTAATACAACAACACTGAAGTGGCAAAAGCCTGTTGGCTTCTAGTTTTACACTATTTGCCTGTATCTTGTCTGTCTAAGGGACGGTACTACCAAATTAATGAGTCTCAAATATACTTTATCCCATGGTGAGCGATTTGAAGAGCATCATCATCCTCGGAGGACCTCTCCTTCATGTGTGGCTTCGGTGATGGTGACGGTTTTTCTGCGGGCTTAACCACTGGAAGCTTCGAGTTCAGCGGGACAGACTTCTTCTGGAAATTCATTATTTATAACGAATCATAATTGATAACTCGTATAGTTCAAATGAAGAATGAATTGCAATCTACGTCTTTTCCTATCATAAAACGGAAGTATTGCATTCATATAGATATTCAACGCCTTTGTGCCCTCAAAGACATAATGGCATCCCGACATAGGAGAAGGCTCCTATATTCGGTTGAAAATGATAAGACCGATTCCGCAATCACTGAGTTTTTGCTGACGTTCGGAGACAATGAAGCAAGTGAGGCTGCGCGAAGACTTCACAACTCATTCCAATCCTCATAGGCTTGGGTTAGGGGTATGTATAGTGCATCGAAGATGATTTCATATGCTCCTTTACCATGTGGATGTCTAATTTTTACCAAATGGTGATAAATGCTTTCTACTTCGAGTTGATTGAGAAGACACTGTTGATCTGATTCCCTCTTTTCATGCAATGCTCTACTAATGTGCTCAAAGGGTATGAAATAAGCCGTAACCGAAGATACTGTTTATAATTAGTCTGGAATGGAAAGATCCTGGAATTCTTCAATTGCCCTCTGTTACCTTGTCGACTGTCCGCTGTCTACCCATACCCCAGAATGAAGGAGTTGCGAAACAGGCAATAGCTGTTTCGTCAGGATCAAGCCATCCTGTAAATAGCGAAACGACTTTGCAAACACTTTTCCCAGTCTCGGCGGCTTTGGCCAGAACTGCTGCTCATTTCACTGTCACATCTTCCTTTTTTGCTTACCTAAATAGCTTCCCAACTTTGGAGGCTTTTGATGGTGAACGCTTATATTTCGCGCAATTCCACGTTGGCGTATCAGCTGAAGAGTTGCTCAGCTCCTTTGCATCTCTTTTGTAGGCTCTCTGATTTCTTAGCACAGTCGTAAAGATGTCCGACGAGCATTAAGTGAGCGAGAACCATCAATGAATTNAAAAGATTCTGAATTGGAAGTGGCCGATGCAGAAATTCGCGGGCCTCGTCGATCAGTAAGTGTTTTCATCTTTGTAAGCGACCTGATAGTAGTTAACTAACTTCAAACGGACGGGCAGGCAATGGTTCGTCAAAGCATTCGAGTTAGAGGTCATTAAACCAAACGCGTGGTAGGGACAGCACTTGATACCGTTAATCATTCCGCTTCGATTTCTTCTCTTTCTTTGCGGGCTGTGCAGTGCTGAGCAAGAACGCTCTGTTATTCCGCAAATAGAGAAGACCAGCAAGTTTAGTTCAACGCCAGATAACTTAAAGTACCTTCTTGTCTGACCTCAGTATGTTCAAAACCCATGCTTGATCAGTGCTACAAATGGAGACCTTCCAGAGTCATTTCTGTAGAACAAATGGAAAAAATCTGTAATAGAGTGTCTCACATTTTGATTGATGATTTGCAGTTCCATTGGGCATGGGCAGAACTTCGCATCAGCCCCTTTTTCTCCAGGTGGTCCTGAAGAAATTAAATGGTTTGAGCCTTTCCGCATACTTATAAACTTTAGTCTACCTTTTGGTCCTCTATCTCCGACGTTCCCATTTACTCCATCTAATCCATTTGGACCAGGTTGTCCTACCGGACCAGGTGGTCCGTAGATGTAATTTCGCTGCAAAGTGAGCCTTTTTCAATACGAAAACTGGTGATATGTTGCCCTGATCACACCTTTCCTCGTGGACCTTGGGCTCCTGCTCTTCCAACGGGGCCATCTGCTCCTTTTGGTCCTGGTTTGCCGATTCCGCCTTCAGCGGGGCGTCCACTTGGACCTCGAGCTCCCGGTCTACCTGGGAATCCTGGCAATCCCATATCACCTTCTGGACCCATTTCACCTTAACAGAATGCATGAAATTTAATTCATCCCCACTGTCTAAAGGTAACATTAAATAATGCAGCGAACCGTCAATTCCATCAGTTGCAGGAGTTCCAGCAGGACCTTTGATACCTTTTTCCCCAGTTTCGCCGCGATCACCAGGAGGTCCCATGGGACCCATCTCACCGGCTGGACAAATTATGCACTTTTCTTCCTGTTCTGCAAGAATATCTCTGGCATCCTTTCCTCGTTGTCCTGGCGCTCCATCTTTGCCCGGCTTTCCATCTTTACCAGGCTTTCCTGAAAAACCAGGTTTTTAGCGTATATCCGCGTCCATACGATACGTCTTAGAAACCAGAATATTCCTCTTCCATACGATATTCTAATATATGTTTGAACGAAAACACTTGTTTTTGGATGGGTATCGTAATTAAATACATCAGCTGATTCATCTGGCAGCCTAGATAGTAGTTTGCTAAAGAACACCTACTGGTAATGGGAGGCTCAAGCTAACTCGGTCTGTGGTTTAAGAATTTGGCAAATGGAATACACATAGGGTAGGTCTGCCCTTTTTAAGGATCAGAAAACCTTCAAATTTTTATGCGCTGAAAGTCCTCACATAGAAATTCGTTCAGCTTCGTCGTAACTAACGTTAAGTTAAAGGTCCAAAAATGAACGAAAATCTGTGCAGACTTCACTCCTGCTCAACGTGAAGGATCGGTCAAATTGGGATATTTGCACTTCTTGTACTTTCAGTGATGGTCTACATTTAATACTACTATTCTGTTGAAGGAAGCCACTCTCTCAAAATGCTACGGCGACTCGGAAATTCCCAGTATACGTGGGAGCGAATTTAAACTTGAGTTAACCTTTAGGAGAGGCGGGTGATGAGAATTGGGGAAACCTCCGTTGATAATGCGAGTGATCTGATTGCTTACCCGAGTTCTGTTTGGATAATTGGACACCGTACAACTGCTAAGACACTGGAGAAAACGCAAAAGCTCGTACTGTGCTTAGGAATGATTATACTGTTCCGAGAAAACACTTTAATAATGCACAACTTTCTAAAGTGAGCACTACCGTACCAGGTGGTCCAGGTTTTGCCGGTGCGCAGACAACCGCTCGCTTTTCACGACTTGCTGATTCCATCAAGTTGGATATGTCCTTTTCAAGCACCTGAAATTTTAGAGGGGTAAAAATTGTTATATCAGCCATCAGTATGCAGAAAAGGATTATTCTCAGCTTAATATCATTGTTTCCGTAATACTAAATGCACTATTATAACAGTATTGCTCTGATTTGTTTTCCTTTTCGCTTAGTATACACAGTATCGACCTAATCATGCATAGCTAGAGTTGAAAGATACACGAAATTGTTGCTAGGTTCCAATAGGAACTTCGGAATGCTTCTCACTTTAAAATTACGTAGGTCGTAGAAGCTTACGCTACTATCAGCCGGAATTCCTAGAATACTCGTGGGGTAGAAATGAAAAAAAAGTTTAGATTCATTTTGTAGCAAAGCATTTCCAGCACGATTCAAAAATGAATTAAACGCTGTATGATATCTTTCATAATTTTCAATGATGACATAAAAACTTACTTTGAAACCCTGTATGCTTTGCAAGACCGCATCACGCGAATTCTCAACTTTCCTCATGATCAGCGGCATATAGGCCAACTGCATGATTATAGTGATAGCAGCAACACTGAGGGTTAAGTAACCCGCATAGAAGAACCACATCTGAAAAAAATTCTTCTTGAAAATCGTATTAGAATTGCTGTGCGTAGCCAAATTGGGATCTCCATAGTACGAAAAAAATGCGATAAGTTGGATCCGTTTTAAGAAGGAAATGGACATGCAGGAATCATGAGAAGAAATTAGCGAAAGGAATGAAAGTACAAGGAGTTAGGTAAGAGCAATGCGATAACGAAACTCAAAAAGAAAAATAGGACAAGCTTGAATGAAAGTTGTACATCCGAACTCACAATGCGTCACCCACTCTGCAAGGAACTCATTCCTCCGGGGTACAGGTAAAACCGTTGAAGTTGAACTCCCTCATCAAGAATGCGTGTACGAAGACCTGATCTTTTATACGAGATCTTCACCACTTTTTCTAGATGGCAACTAGTTAAGTGGCTGCTGTAGACAAGCTGTAGACAACCGAAATTTACCGGAAAGACGAGTAATTGAAGCAGGACACGTAGCGTGACAAATGGAACTGGGAGCCGAGATGGAAAATTGGCTCAAAGGCTGATGCTGGTCCAAACTTGGCAATGACATCCGAACTATGTCAGTCGGAGCAACCCCTTGCGAACTTCTACGTGAGATACCCCTACTGCTGCACCGAAAATGGGACAACATTGAAGTTTTTGAAACATTTCGGCTGTTTGCGCAAATGTGTGCAGTTTTTACACAATGTTTCCAGGTCACAACCACCACTGCGTTCCACATGCCTACTTGGTAGAGACCTTGAACTGAAAATTTAGTGCAAAAAGGACACTGTGGCTTCAAATGTT